ACATGTTCTTTGTTATACACAGACATACACAAACTATATGTAGGAGGAACCATAACTAGTTCAGATGATTTAATATCTATTTTATATTTCGAAGTCTCAAGCCTAGTAACAATAGTTTCACAGTTGAAATGAAACAATGTAGTACTATACAGTTCTAAGAATCACAAAGTATTCATCGAATGAGTGACAAGAATTCACACATCCCAGGACAAGCAGCTTTGAGATTTCTTCTTCAGCATTGCACAATCTCTGGGAAACACAAAAAAGGATGTAGACGACATTCAAAATTGACCTCACAGAAGTTTCAGAAATTCTGCATGCATAGTATACTTGCAGTCGTCCACCGTAGCTTTCAGTTCCTGGTCTTCCACAGCAACCTTTCTGAGCTCTATTTCAACATCGCATATGAAGTGAAAAAGTGAACTGGTATATGGATGCTTCTGCACAAAGGTTTTAATGCAGGCCAACACAGCATGTTGCAGTGGAATGTCGCCTTGTCGATTCATCAATGGTATAATTGCTTCGTACAGTTTGGAAGCGTCCTTTGAACTTGTGAAATCATGAACCCTTTGAAACAATTTATTCATTGTGTGCATAACTGTGATTAGAGTGGGACTATCATGCACATTTTGTATCAACTCAACCAATGAATTGGGAAGCTTGGGCCACAAATTTTCCCTTGCAGATGCTAAAGCAGTGAGTAGGTGAGAACTGGTATCTCTATTTTCCCTCTTCGAAAAGCATAAAGTCTTCAAGAGAAAGCCCTGCATCAATTCCCTATGAAATTCATCAAGCCTATTCCAATGTTTAATCACAGTACAGTCTACAATTATACTATCCAAGTTGTCTTCAGACCCATTCTCAAACTCCACCATAGCTTTGATAATATCCGCAATAAAATTTTCAGAAATCATCAAGGTTTCTAGAACTTTCCCTAATTGTTTGACGGTTAAAAAGCGTACATCCCCAATGGTAATATTTTTCACACACTTCGAATTTGGTTCATCCGATATATCATGAAGCTGAATTATGTCTACAATCTGATCAAGCCCTGGTGTATTGAAAGATCTTTTCCCCGGAGGGGTCTTCGTTAAAGCCATCAATAGCAATTTCAGCAACTGCTGTCTACCCCTTTGACCAGCTGATGGAAATAGGGCCAGGATGCCCATCCCATCGAAGGAGGAACCATCATCAATCAGCGTAATTGTATTATCTACGATCCTCGAAAAGAAATATTCCACTTCACTTACCACCTCTGTGTTATCTTCTTCAATAGCCACGAGACATCTTTCAATAATGAATTTCATTTTAGGTCCAATGGCAAAGAAATTGGCATCTGCCAGTGCACCCAAACAACCGAATACAGATGTTCTAGTTTCAGCAGCACAGTCTACCAGAGCTTCACAAACAAATTCTGTCAAATCCTCCCTCCCAATGTCTCCAAAAACATATGTTAAAGCAAACCCCAAAATAGAATTCAGTGCTTTAAATTGGTCACTTTTTGCTTCATGTGGTGTTGCTGGACTTTTGATGATGAAATCAATAATATTATGAAGTTGCTTATCATCAACTTCACCTCCACTCGCATCATCAAATATTTCACTCAAAATCTGAAAAAACTTCTTTTGGGAGATTGCGGACTCATTGAATAACAGGCTCAGATCAACATATGTACCATTGCTACAATCAGTAAGAGCCTTACGGACTCTATCCTCACTAGTATCTTCAGACCCCAACATCTGCATGCTTATAATCTTAGAGAACAATCAATGATGGCATAAAACAAATGTATGAAAAAACATTTGCTACTGCAAAAAGTATCTGAAGATAATAAGAAAACTCATCTACGACAAAAATTTACAAATCATTACAAATTGAACTACTAAATATATGAGTTAAATGGAAGAAATGGTTACAAGGAACCTAACAGAGAGTAAACGAGGAAATAGAATGCAGAATGACAATAGCCATTCTGACATAAGATAATATATGTAAAAATCACTCATATTACATTACAATTTAACTCGAGATTGAATATTCATACTCACTTGTCAATGAACAGGATATGCAAGGAAAAAATTTAAGCATCTGAAAGACAATTTACCATTACAATGATTAACCAGCATAAATGTTTGAAAACTAGAGATAGGAGCAAGGTTCTAATATATAGGTATTGAATCAAAACAATGTTATATCGGTAGTTATGTCTAATCATCCAAATGTGCAAAGCATAATATTACATCACAATTTAAGCATTGTGACACTATGCAGGCAGTCATGTACATGAGATTCTTTACCATTTGTATTTCCATTACCAACAAACTCAATACACTTTTTGTGCATAATTTTTAGTTATTAAGCAATTGACAGACACCAAATATGTCAACCATTGTCATTAGCAACACGAGTTTCTTTACCATTTGTATTTCCATTAGCAACACTCAATACAGGAGATTCTTTACAATTTGTATTTCCTTTAGCAACAACAAAATGCACTAATCAGAGCATATTTCCTAAAGAAACCTCTGCCCCCGCAATATATCTAGGATTGGGAAAACATTAACTTTGAAGCCTCATACCTTACCAATTATCAGCTGCATGTATGAGGCCAAATACTCTATGATGGATTGGATGTCAACTCAATTCATGCTTCACAAGCTTTGACTTGCAGCCATGGTTATGGCCAAATGGCAATGATCTTCTCTCTCTGATGGATTGAATGATGTGAGGCCGAAATATGTTGAATGAGGTGAAGCTGAAGTTATTCAATGTCAAAAAATAGTAGGATTTGAATGTGATTTTAATCTGCTTTCCTTGTACCTTGAGTTCTTGTATAAAAAATCAGCTTATTTATTAAATAAAATAAAATAAAAATAAATTGAACCACCTGGTCTGCAAAGCTACAATTAGTTTTCATGAAAGTGAATTGATTTGACAACCATGGTTTCATTCAAAATCAAAATGGCCCAAAAAAAAAAAGAAAAAAAAAAAGAGAGGAGATTACTAGGTCTGAAAAGATTATATAACCCATATTAGATGAAATCAATCTGGTTTAATGATCAAACTTGAGCTAAATTTAGAAATATAGACAAGTTACTACTAAACAACTGAAACTAGTAGATTATAACATGTATTGATGATATTACTCATGTCTGCAGTGAAGAATCAGCCTCCTAATGAGGCCTTTATAAGCATTTCATTGTTATGCCGGATATCAATAATTTGCTTATTTCATATTTTAAATGGGGCCATCTAGGAGGGTCTCTTTAACCAAAATATACATGTGACAGGTTCAAGACCACGTCTAGTTGACCTTCGCATCAGGTTTGAGCCTCGATTTACATAACACTTCTATCTTACTTGGAGCCATTGCTTGACTGCCAAGTGTATGAGAATTGGTCAAAACCACACTGTTTCCAAAGTTTTGTGGAAAATGGGCAAAGACAAACTAATTCAGCTGGTATAAATTTTTCAAGATATCTTGAACTTACTGTTATAGGTTTATCTGATGGTGTCTTGTGTCCTAAGTCGCAAACAAGCAAAAAGTGCCACATCCTTTGAAATAACAGACTTATTATGCTTTCTAAAAACAAACATAAGTAATAGATAAACAGCAACTTGCAAAGCCAATTATCTAAGATCAGCATAAACAAATGATGGACATTTTACAAAAAAGTGATTAAAAAAAAAAGGGTTGAATGGTTCAAAGCTGATTCTATTGGATCATTTACATCCCCTAGCCCATAATACTCAGACTGAAAATGGACTTGACATGGCAAATCAATAGCTAGCTATCAAGAATCCCCATTCAATCAATTTTATTTATTTATTTATTTTTATACAAAAATCAGAAGTGCACAAAGGGAATACTAAAAGGTTACATTGTTATCAAAGAAGGGTAACATTATATGGAATTATATTTTAAATAGATCCCTGAAATCCTAATTCTGCAGTCGTGCTTCCTCAACAAAATACTGGTAAACATAAAAAATCAAATAATAATAATAATAATAATAGAAGAACATATACAATTCAATTACATAGATGTGACTCCCCACATTTAAAATACCACAACACTGCTATCATGATTAGAGAGCACTCATCCGAACTCAATTTATAGTTTATAACCTAAAAAAAAAAAAAAAAAAAAAAAAGGCCCTCCCTCTGCATCGCACATCAAACAATTTTGACAAATAAACCATATGCAGAAACGGAAAAAGAACACTCCTAATCTCTCTTGCTCTTATCATAATACTGAAATCAAGATTGAATATCATCTTCAAATGTTTAGACGGCATTGTAATAGGAGAAACATAAAAAGATGAATATAGTACTGAAATTGTATATTGCATAATCAGATCCATAGCTTAGATGCAATAATAATGAAACTAAGGAAACAAAGACGTGTAGAAAAAAAAACCTCTCGACAGCTCCTCTTTCTCTCTCTAGGGTTTCTGTAACAGCTTGCGATTCTTTCCAGAAAAATTGAAGCCTCTGTATATTGATGCAACAACAGAGCAAGAAAGAAGGAAAATCAATTCAATCAATTAAAATATTAAGATAAATCTGGGAATATTGATAGAAATCTAGATGAGGAATTGGAAGTTTAGAATTCCAAAACATCAAATGTATGAATTGAAACAATAAACAACGAAGAAGTGTAGAAGAAACCTCCAGATCTCTCTCTAGGTTACGCGATTCTCTGGCGCAGATTGTCTCTCCTTTCTTTCTCTCTCTAGGTTACGCGACTCTCTGGCGCAGATTCGTCTCTCCTTTCTTTCTCTCACTAGATCGAAATAGCTAGTGTAGAATTTACGGTGCTGAAGAAAGCTTGAAGGTCTTTAGTTAATAGGCGGGAAAGGGAAATGCTCACGCGTAACTCAAAATATTGTTACGAGGCACGTGGGGAACATACTATCAAATGAACGACACGTGGTGTCTCTGTTATACATAAAACATGGTTTAGACACTTGGCGCCAAAACTCAAGTCACGACCCAGTCTCCACTGAGTCAATGCATTATAAACCTCATTGGCAGTGTAAAAAAGAAAGACTTTCACTTCTTTCATCGCCAACCCAATTTCTCTACTGTTAAACAAGAAATAAAACAACAAAATCTGTATTCTAAAACCATTTCAAATCTAGATCATCATCACATATATACCCAGCTCCTAAAAATATGTCTGCAACAGTACGAACAAATCTAGTCCCACCAGCAGTTCGACGAAATGCCCCAAAGAATTGGTTCTGCTTCAAGAGCTTGTAGAATTGTCCATGCCCAGAGCTTAATACTTGGTATTGGATCCAGAGGGAAGTTAGGAAATGCCGAGTGTGGCGATATGGACTTCACAGAGAAGACGTTCTACCGCCTTGGGGAAAGAGATATTATGGCTTGGAATTCTGTTTTGTCAATGTACTCGAGGCAGGGTTTGTTGGAACAGGTCATTTCGTCATTCAGGTCAATTTCTTAATTAGTTCACTTATGCAATTGTATTATCTGTTTGTGCTAGATTGATGGAAGTGGAGTATGGGAAGCAAATTCATTATAATGTTATTTAGGCCGGTTTTGAGTTCAATTCCTTTTGTGAAGGTTCTCTTGTTGACATGTATGCTAAATGTAATTCTGTGATTGACGCTCGTCAAATATTTGATGGGGCTGCAAGCCCTGATACAGTTTCTTAGACGGCAATGATTGCAGGGTATGTTCAGATTGGTTTACCTGAACAGGTGCTGAAAATGTTCTAGGATATGCAGGAAATAGGTCGCATTCCTGAGGAGGTGACATTTGTTACTGTCATAAGTGTGTGCGTGGAGATAGGAAAGCTTGATGATGCATGCCATTTGTTTGCCCAGATGCCTCATCCTTGTGCTGTAGCATGGAATGTGATGATTTCAGGTCATGCCCAGAAAGGTTATGATAGGGAAGCTGTCAATATTTTCCATGATATGAGGAAAGCTGGTGTTAAACCAACGCGATCGACATTTGGAAGTGTTTTGAGTGCAATTGCAAGCTTGGCTAATCTTGACTATGGCTTGCAAGTTAGATTCTAATGTTTATGTGGGAAGTTCTTTAATCAGTATGTATGCCAAGGGCTAAGAAGTGGAAGCTTCAAGGAAAATGTCTGATACTCTTGATGGAAAAAAAATACTGTGCTGTTGAATGCAATGCTTGGGGTTTATGCACAGATTGGGTATGCTAGTGAAGGGATAGAATTATTCTCCAAGATGAGGGATTCTGGTTTGCAACCTGACTACCTACACTAGCATTCTTAGTGCTTGTTCTTGCTTGGGAAATTTAGAAATGGGGCGCCAACTACATTCCTTTATTATTAAGAACAAGCTTGAAGCAAACTTATTTGTCGGAAACGCATTGATCAACTTGTATGCTAAATCTGGTACTCTAAATGATGGAATGAAACAATTTGAGCTCCTGATAAATAGAGATAATGTTTTTTGGAATGCAATTATGGTTGGGTACGTGCAGGAAGAAGAAGAGGGTGAGGCTTTTTTTTTTTTTTTTTTTTTTTTTCCTAGTTGGTATTCACACACAGATGCCTTCACTGAAGTTCGAACCCCTGACCTCCCTTTGGGAAGTAGGGGCCTGGTACCGCTAGGCCACAGGTCTGTTGGTTGGTGAGGCTTTCAAACTGATTCAGAGAATGTATTCAGAAGGGATTGCACCTGATTTAGTGTCCTTGGCAAGTATACTCAGTGCTTTTGCGAATCTGCGAGATCTTGAACAAGGAAAGAAAATACATTGTATATCGGTTAAAAATTGAATAGAAAACAGCCTTTATTGTGGAAGCTCTCTTATCGACATGTATGCTAAGTGTGGAGCCATTGGAGCTGGTCATGAAGTTTTCACTTGCATGCCTGAGCAGAGTGTGGTTTCCACGAATGCTACTATTGCAGGATATGCTCAGAATATCTTAGAGAAAGCAGTAAATCTGTTTCATTTTATCCTGGCTGAGGGATTTAAACCGTCTGAAATCACCTTTGAAAATCTGCGACCTGTATGTTAAAACTTGGAAGGCAAATCCATTTTTTTATATAATTAAGGAGGCTTTCATGCAAGTTGGGATTTGTTCCACCATGATGGACAATATATGGTAAGTAATTATATCCAGTTAAAATCTTTTTCCTATTCAAAACTTGTTTCGCTGTTCTTCTATTTCTTAGATCATAACTTCAGTGTTATGACACACCCTATCATATCTTTCGTCACAATATCACATCTCAACTCTTATGGTCACCGGAATACTTATCAAAATGTAGTTTATCCATATGAGAGTTTGGAGGTGATGACAAGTCTATTTTCAACCTCTGTGACCCCTTTACAAACTTTTCCAAAGGGTGGTTGATACCTAAAATTTAGTAATTATCTGAAAAGTGAGAGTTACAGAGTTGAATCCATAGATTGGTTCTGGAGCTCAGCTTCTTAGCATGCCTACCAAATAAGAGGAAATAAAAACTTCTGTAGCCATTAGAATATAACGTGGCATAGCCACTAGGGCTTACATTCACGGCACACAAAGCCCAAAGGGCTACATATCTTTTATTATACTCCCTTAATTTTTGTATACAGCTCACCCTTATTTATAGGTGAAATGAGAAAGACTTGAGGCTGGAGAATAGAAAATACTTACTCTACAAGTATTCTTGCTTCCTGTATTTGTTTCTATACACTTTGTTTTCCTGTTGAGTGTCACCTGGATAGAGTAGATTTTCTTTTATTGAAGTATGAATATCCTGCCTTTCATAGATTTAGCGAAGTTGGTGATATTCACATATTCATGAAATTCCTCCATTGGAATATGAATTCTCTATCATTTTGTTTGTCTTTTTTAATTAGGAAAAATATAAGTGAAACAACTATTAATGAAAGTATTATACCAAAAAAAAAAAAAAAACACTTAAAATTTGTACTTGCCGATAATTATTAGACTGAGGGGTTATTCTGGATAGTTTATACTAAGAAGCTAGGGGTGAGAATGCGTACTTGTGCATGGGAGTATTCACTTTTTAGAACACTGCTTCAACCAAACTGGCCTAAACCGACAATACCTAGCAGTTTGGGGGTCCCACAATTTTTGTGGAGCCCAGCATGCTGTTGTGCCCTAAGTCACATAGAGCGGGAGCAGGAGCGAGAGTAGAAGCGTGAAAGTAAAAGAATTTAAGTCACACGGGGTGGGAATGGGAACGAGAGCATGAAAGCGAGAGTCTGTACAGAGCGTGAGAGAGGCATCAATTTTAGAAGAATTATGTGAGTTAGGTTGTGCCTTGTTGGCTTGGGCCGATTCGGCACAAGAAGCATTTTCCTTTGTAGAAATACAATCAAAACATGAAACCTGGTTCTCATATACTCATCCCGAGATGATATTTGAGACATTTGTTATGGATGAGGTTTGCAGTCGGTGGTTAGTGGTTAATGATGTGTGGCAAGGGATGGGATTCAATGATGGAAGGGATGAACAGCTTGAGGTGGGAAGATTTTGCAGTGAATTTAATGAAATATATGAATCCAAATGTTTATGGTAAAACAAAATTAAGAAAGTCTATTGAGGCTTAGCAGTGATAGGGGTAGGTATTCGTGTTTACACTCATGTTTTACTAGGAATGAAATAGTTGATGGTAGAATTAGGATGATTCGGATGAAGGAGGCGTCCTAGAAATGGACAAGCATACTTGCTAGGAAAGGGAAAAAGGTGATCTCTTCCATATATCAATCAATCGTATAATAATTTCCTTTATAATATTAGTCTTAGCATGAACATGAGCAAAGAAGATATTTAAATGTGCCCGTTGGGAAAAGTGTAATGTCCACATTGAGGGAAATACTAGAGGAAAAGGAAGACCAAAGCTAATGTTACTAGAGTTACTAAAAAAGGATATGATAACATGTTGATTAACTAAAGTTATCGCCTTAAAATAGAGTGGAATGAAAACATATGATTTGTGGAGCTGACTCCAACGAGTTGGGAAAAAGTCTTGGTTGTTATTGCTGTATTAGTTTCAGCGCGTGTATAAATACAATAAAAAATTGGAAATATACAGTCAAAATATAGAAATGAGAAAACAGATACAAGAAAGATAAAAAGCATAAAGAAAGAAGAAATAATAAGCTATATGTAAAAGGACAAGTTGCAAATCTAAAGCATTGTTAAATAAACATTTTATTTATATGTATTTGTAGAAATAGTTTCAACTTTCACATTTCAATTTCTATAAAAGGTTTTGACATTACTTGAAAAGGTCATGATGGCTGCGGTAGCTTGGACATTGCTTGGGAGTCAGAGGGTGCTTTGTTTATCCATCCACCACCACACACCCCCCACACACCCCCCCCCCCCCCCCCCCCCCCCCATTTTCTCAGGAGATGTGCATTCTAGTTAAGTAATTAAAAAAGTTTACTTTCTTTTTTAACAGCAAACATCCTTTCATCCCTTGTTCTTGGAAAACTTAGAAGTTTTTTTTTTTTTTTTTTTTGGTGCTTTATTGATGCTCTTTGTTGGTGCTTTAAAATTGACAAATTGATACTTCTTCCCTAGAAAATGCTCTTTGAATATCCTTCAACTTTTTCCATCTAAAATATTTCCATCAGTATGCATTTTGGGATAGGTCTCTCCCTCTAACATGCACCTTAGGTCAGGCTCTGTCTTATATGTGCATTTTGATTGAATCCAAGTACGTTTAGGTCCAGATTTCAGGAACTATGTCAAGTATCATCCTCCGGAAAACATGATTGATTTCTGCCCATTTTATGTTAATTCTAGCTACAAAAATTGTAACTTATATGCATGATAAAATGAATGAAAGTTCTCAAGGAAAAGAGTATTATAACATATATAAATATGTATGTGTGTGTATAACTTTAGCAAAATAATTGAAGGTTGGTATTCAGGAAAACTATTTTATTTTTCATCTATAGGAAAGTTTGTGTGCTTGCTTGATAATCATAAATACTAGTCCCACCTTTCCCTACTGAAAGCTCAATTATCCTTGATTTGTTCTGAACATATATTGATTTTGAAGTTTCTTATGTGATTGAATTTTGTTATATAGGATTTTACATGTGAGAGTTGATGTTCTGTGCTATAGTATGCATTCAGTGAATTCCTTTCAATAAAGGTATTTATGAAGATTTTACTCAAAGAACATTTTCCTGCTTGCATCCTTGGAAATTTCATCATGTTCTAGTGTTACTGGTTACTAAAACATGTTAAATAATTTTTGGATAAATTACACTTCGATCCCTGAGGTTTGTTCAACTTCAAACCACAGTTTGACCCCCTCCCTATTGAAAAATAAGAGTCTCCCCCTTTCAGATGTCATTGACGGTGTTAACGGACTGAGTGAAATGACAATTATACCCTCACGATTGAATATGCTATTTTTCCTTGACAAGTCAATGTTTCTGAAAAGACTTTAATACCCTTTGTATCACTGAGTCAAGTGTTAGTAAAATCCACTATTGGATAGTGCGTACAAAACAAAAAAAAAAACCATGAAAATTTATTTCTTGACAAGAAATACGTTCGGAAACTACTGAAAAGTATCATAATTGTTGCCCTTCCTATCTTGAAAAGCTTCATACACCAACATTTCTTCCCTGCAAGCCAAGATCTCATTCTCATTTGCATGCAACTTCTTTATCTATATATATATATTTCTCTATATATATCGATTTAGTGAGATTCAGTGATGTAATAGCGAAATGGATGGAGAGAGAGAGAGAGAGAGAGAGAGAGAGAGAGAGAAGGACATGAAACAATGACAGGTCAAAGGATTTTATGATGATTGGGATTTGCTCAACCCTGAGAGGGGAGCTTTGCTGACAAACACTAATTCAAAGATGATTTGATTTAGGAGGTTACAGGTGATGTTTGGAGAGGATATGAGTTCCATTCTTTGGCAATTCATTCTTCTTAATGGATCTTTGCAAAAGTTGGAGATAATTGTGAAATTAAAAAATAAAACAATGGATTCATTTCAAGCAGCTTGAGGAGTCCTCTGTCTTTCTCTTAGCTTGGAGCAGTTTTTATTTTTATTTTTTATTATTCTGGTTTCACTGCAGTTTTTTCTACTGTGAGTTCTAATTGATTAGTGCTAGCCTTTCTCGGTATCAGTCTCTGGCATCTTGTCCTTTGATTCTCCTGAGTCATTGAGTTTGGTTCTGCTGCTGCTTGAAGCCCTGCAGCTATTGGTTTTGTTTGGTCTTGTGAGTTGTAGCTCTTGATTTATATGCTTGCGTTTTTGTTTTCTGTTTGACTCCTGTGTAATAAGTCTTGTTTCTGATAGTTAGTCTTGTTGCTTGTGTGGTAATCCTTGGTTATTCAGTTGTTTTTCTCTAGCTGTTGGTTGAGTTGGGTTCTCCATTAAGCTTGTCATGAATATAAATCTGTGCTGACAGCTTTATCTTTTGCAATTGACACTGTGCTTTCCCAAATGTGTCCATAGAATTTCACTGATGCTCTCTTTTTCGGTAAGCGACTACAATTAGGTTGGTGGAAGGATGAAGCTTGGAATGTCAAATACTGCTGCCTTCAGAACAGCATTAGTGATTTGGGCATCTTGGGTCAAGATTATGGTTCATATGGTATGGACAGAAACTTATATTCTTTCAGGCTTCGAAGCTTCCTGTTGGAGGTATGTTTTTTCTATTATTGCACTCACTGTGAAATCTTCGTAGTACCTTCAAGAAATTATCCAACATTAGATACATATTGAAGTCAAAATTTTAAGTAGAGTTTGCTCCACACGATATACTTCAGTAAATTAAATTAATGTTCATGTAAATGAAAATAACTTTTCTTGCTGCTTGCCACAACATTCTAATTGGATCAAACCATTATTTCCTGAACTCATATACATATGTTCTGCATTTCTTTTCCAAGAACTATTTTCATTGGCAGTGGTAAAACCACAAAAACTAGTCATCTTCTTTTTCCTATATTCTAGTACTCTCTCATCTAAATATCACTGTGACCAAATCCTCCTATCGAGCTTAGCTATTTGACTTTTCTGTAACTCCATCCTTGATTTTGTCACCTTCTTTATCTTTTTCATTTTTTTAACTTATATTAAAAGTCACCAATGGGACCAGTTCACCTTGTAGCCTGTTGGCTTGTGGCTTGATTCCTAGATCACAAGCCAAGATTCAAGACTGGTAGATATAGGGAAAGTCACCAACGGGCCATAATTCCAATGGTATAACCTCCCTACCCTCAAAGAGGAGGGGAGGGGTTTGAGCCCTGGCTTGGGCAGTGTGAGTTCCTGATTTTGTCACATTGCATTACATTACAACTAAGCATCTATGAAAGTTGACTGACATTGATGCTTATTTCTGCACCAGTGTCGAATATATCAGAACTACAAAGTGACTTTATAATCCAGTAATTATCGTTCGGTCTCTTAAATGAATTGCAGTTAAACTAGGCCTAATCTTTTTTAAGAAATTGAGGTTTGAGATCATTTTCAGACATCAAAATGAAGGTGGTGAATAATATGGTGGTTCTTGCAATGGCACTGCATGCCACTCCCATGGGGGCATTCTTGAGTGACACAATGTTTTAACCAATGTTTTTTTATTATGAACACTGCACCAGTAAATATAACCAATGTTTTTGTAGAATTTTCTTTCAATTTTTTAACAATTCAATGTCTAGAAAAGTTTTTGAGTACTTTGATTTCACATTTGGGAAAGATAATCAATTTCCTGAGGAAAGATTAAGCCTCGCGAGCTTTAACAGAAGACAATTATCAATAAGAAAATACAAAACAAAAATTGGCAAGCAATTTAAAGAAGTTTTAGAAACTTATAAGAGGAACAACTACAGAAGTTGGCATATAACAAGTGACAACTAAATAAATTAGCATATATTATATCACTTTTGTTGTTTGGCATTCTTGTCTCCTGAATCCTACAGCACTTAAGTTTTTCCTCCTTTTGACCCCACTCAAGTTTCTCCAATGAAGCATTAGCATATTATTCTAAACATTTTTCTTAATGTCTAAAGAAAAAAGTTCATTTATTTTTGTTAAGCATGAGGAGACATTGGTCTAATTGCACATTTATTTATTTATTTATGTATGTTATTTCTTGAAGTCATATAATGGATATTCACATGTGTGTATGCAAATGTGAATCAAGTACAGGGGGTGGGGGACTGAAATTTTCTATGGGTTTTAAAAAACCACAAGTTAGGGATGCACACGGTTTGGTTTGCACATGTTATAATGTGAACAAGGATGAAATCAATCCCCACTATTTTATAAAAACTAGAAAAAAAACCAGACCGTAGGAATTATTGGAACCGAACCAAACCGAACTGAAAATTTATTTAGGTTTTAGAAACCACAAGTTAGTGATGTGCACGGTTCGGTTTTGAACAAGTTACAAGGTGAAACAAGACCAAATCAGTCCCGGCAATTTTATAAAAACTTTAATCAAGTTGTACTGTAGAACTATTAGAATCGTGCCGAACCGAATTGAACCGTAAAGGACCAGTTTGGCTCGGTTCCACGGTTTTGACCTTTTTAATAATTTGATTTTATTATATTCATTAGTTAATTATACGAGGTTAGAATGGATTATTAATGATGTATAAAATTCTTCTAAATCACCCATTCTCTATTCTAAATATATTGTATGTTTGAACAATGAGTAATGTTATAGAGATGGAATTTATTAAATGAGTGAGGTTGATGTAATGATTTAGGTGTTTGGTTTATGAACACTTTAATAAAATTAGAGATAATCAATTATAAATTTATAATTTTTAAACATTACTCTTAAGAAACAAGGAAAGGTGATGGCCCATGTTTAGCACCAGCTCAGTTGAGTGCAGGAGTTGCCGTTGCTGGTTCAGCTAATCAAGAAATTTAGATTTTAGATAGATAGAAAGATACATATATATATAGAGAGAGAGAGAGAGAGATGATGAATAAAGCTGAAAAATCAGAAAGGGAGTGTCAATAGGCTAGGCAAAGGTAAGCGGGGGTAAGTATTTGGGGAAAACAAATCATTTTTCAAGGCATCTCTTGATCTTTCAATGAGCCACCTAAGCATCCACATGGTGTTGACAAAGCTGCCAAGTAGGCACTGTATCATGTATGCTGCACTGCAAGGGAGATTTGGTTGGATCTTTCAAAGCGTTTTTCTCAATCCAATGCTCCACAAGAGGACATATCTATTTTCACTTATTTTACAAAGCTCAAATCATTATGGAATGAATTTAATTCACTTGTCACTATCCAACCATGCACTTGCGGAAATGGGAAAGTTCTTGTGAAACGACTCCAACAAGATAGGGCAATGGAGTTGTTACAGGGCTTCCACGACTGATATGTGGTACTTCGGAGTCAAATCCTCCTTATGGGGCCTTTTCCAAGTACAACCAAAATTTATTCTCTTGTTCATCAAGAAGAAAAGCGACAAGAGATACATTCTTTGTTGTCTCCAACTCCGGCCAGTTACCACGGCTCTTAATGTCAAGCCACAAACCGTGGAAGCAACTTTAACTGTGATGGTTCATCCGGATAGCAAGCCATGCTACCACTGTGATCGTGATGGTCACACCAAAGATTGTTGCTTCAAAATCGTTAGGTTACCCCCAAAGAAAATTGATGCAGCTACTAAAGCACCCAAATCTAAGGAAAGTGCGACGAACAATACAATAAATTATTGGCTATACTCTCTTCAGGTAGCATCAATTTTAACGCACAGTTAGCAGGTATTGCACTTCCAGTTCCCTCTAATTTAATATGGATTGCTGATATAAGGGCAACAAATCACCTTTGTTATATTTTATCTTTATTTCCTCTAATAAGTCATGTCCAACTCCATCTTCCGTAACACTTTCGGATGGTCAAACCATGCATGTTGGAACCATTCATCTTTCATACACTATTAAGCTTGAGAATGTTTTCTCTATCTCATCACTCAAGTTTAACCTTTTATGTATGAGTCAACTTGCAAATACCGATAATTGCTTAGTGACTTTTTCTTCTAATCATGCTTTTTCCAGGACCCGTCAATGAAGAGGACAATTGGACAAGGTAACATTCATGAGGAGCCATACTACTTTTAAGCGGCTTCGGCAATGGCAGTCGTTGAACCCGCCGATTGATCTTTGGCGTTGGCAGCTTGGGCATTTATCTTATCGTACTCTGCAAAATTTAATTAAGGATGTTTATTATGTATCTTGTTCACATAATAAAATTTGTGAAATTTGTCCACAAGAAAACACAAGGACATTTGTCGTTTCCTTCCAATTCTATCACTACTGGTAGACCTTTTGCTTTAATTCATTGTGACATATGGAGTCCTTTTTCTCAACCATTCTTTAAATGGTTCTTGTTATCTGTTAACATTTGTTGATGAATTTAGTAGATGCACTTGATTTATCTTGTGAATGTCAAGTCTGAAACTAAAAAAAAATTTGCAATTGTTTTTTTGAGATGCTTAAGACTCAATTTCATTCTTAATTCAAGCAGTGGTGGTTTTTTTTTTTTTTTTTTTTTTTCAACATATACAACAAGTTCGATCAAATAATGGTTCCGAATTTATTTCCAATGATATGCTTCTATTTTATCCGACCATAGCGTCATTCATCAACTTAGTTGTGTTGCCACTCTACAATAAAATGGTGTGGTAGGGCGCAAGTATCGTCACCTTCTTGAGGTTGCTTATGCTCTCCATTTGTAGGCACACTTACCTTTAAAATTTTGGGTGAGTGCGTTCTTACATCAACCTATCTTATCATGTATAGATCGGTTTTCTTTTTGCCCTTTTCTCCATTTCATTTATTTATTTATTTTTAACACTGCTTCCCCCCTAATTGAAGTACTAGCTCTGCCTTGCCTGTATTGTATTATATTTGTCTATAAATACAATGATAATAGATTCTCTCCTCAAATGAGGAAGATATCACCAAAACATATATGTGATATTTACAATGAGGAATTGCAAATTGGAATGCTAAAATTGAAAATGTATGACTTAGAAGAAATCACATTCAGGCAAATCTGTGAGGTTGTCGAGGTTTAAACCTTGTCCGTGTTGCTAGATTCTCACCCTAGATCGCACAGGGAGATTTTCTGATGGGAGAGAAAGCCCTCAATAAAATGTTCAAGAGATGGATAATGAGCGAGAAAAATAGTGGCCTATGTAAATTAAAAATTAGTTATAGGCCATGTGGGAATGATCAAGAGGAACCACTAAATAATGGACACTTGGATTCTTAGGGTGTTTGAAAAAAATGGGCCTATAAGAATGGATAGAGAAAAAAATTAGATAAATTTTTTTTTTTAAAATATAATTTTCTTTTGAAGTAAATAATAAATATGAAAACTTAATATTAGTTAGCAAACATTTACAATTACAGTGTATTTAAGAAATACAATTTTACAAAATAAAACAAAGCAAATTCAATTGTGTGTTTCTTTAATTGTATTTCCCATTTCCTCTTACAGTGTTGTACTATTCACAATTAGTTTTGATAACTAATCTTGAATGAATAACAATTAGTTTTGATAACTAATTCTAAATGAATTAAGCACTTACTTAATTAAATGTGTTTGATAATGTAATTTGAATATGGCTGAAAAAACTGTAAGTGCCACTTAAAATGAAATAAATTTTAAGTGATAAGTATATCATTTATCACTGAATAACATTGAAAAATCAAAGTGATAAGGATATCAATTACACTCCTCTCGTTTGGAAAACAATTTCCCTAGTAGTAATCTTGTCTCACACCCGATTTGGATGGAAAATAAGTAAGTATATATAGGTTAGAGTAGCTCCAACATAGGCCTTTAAGGCAATTATGGGCCAGATTCCGCTATTGGACTCCTCCAATGGCCTCGCTAAAAATTGGGCCCCACCCAATGGGTCGCTGGAAATTGCGACCCTCTTGGCGAGCCGCGGGCCTGCCATGTGGACCCGCATCAATTTTGTTTTATTTTTTTATTTTTATTTTGGCTAGAACAGTGTTTTAGCTTAGAACACTGCTCCTAATGCTCTATTTGCCTGGAAAAAATAAAATAAAATAAAATAAAATTGATATTTGGCTTGTTTTGGTCTCTGTATTTTTTTTTCCTCAAAATAATTGAACCAAAGAGCCATTAAGGTACTAATAGTGCCTTATAGACTTTTTTGGGCAAAAAAAAGTTTTAAAAAAATAAAGAAAAGTGCTTTTTTTTTTAAAAAAAATTACTTTTTAAAATATTCCTACTGACATATAGTCGTTTAAGGCACTATTTGGCTGACCCAAATAGTGCCTCAACGGCTATATTGGCATAAAAACCTATTTTTTGAATTTATGTTTTTAAAAAATAATTATATATATATATATATATATATATTTATTTATTTTTAAAAAAAAAACTTTCATTTTTTCTCTATAAATACATCAACCCCTACTATTATTCACCTCATATCCAACTCTTTTCTAATCTTCAACCTACAACTGCAACCATTAAGTCATTTTCTCAATCTTTTAGTTATATTTTTCACTCAAGTTCAATTCCATGGATCCTCCACCGCCATATTACAACTACAACTCCCAATTCAACCAATCAAATGATAATTTTGATCCCTTCTTATTTGTTCGTAAAGAATCTCAATTTGTTGGAGAAGAATTTCAATTTCTGTCTCATCAACCTTCTCAAGTTTCCAACATTCCTACTGAAGTGCCACAATCCAGTAACTCCCAACTTCCCAGAAAGCAAAGGGTTATTCGGCCTCCTAATTGGTCCACGGTTGAAGATGAGGCTTTATGTTATGCGTGGATGGCCATTAGCACTGATGCAGTCATCGGTTCAAACCAACAAAAGATAGCGTTATGGATCCAAATTCAATAAAGTTTTGAACAACACATTAGTGGTGCTAGTACACCTAAAAGAAATCATATCACCTACTTGAATTGTTGGTCCTTCATGCAACAAATGATTACCAAATTTTTTGGATTCATGGCCCAGATCGAAAGGAATTACCCCAATGGGTAAGACAATGAGTACAAGGTAAGTTATTTATTATATTAAATTTAATTGGTAAATATTTTAAAGATTTGTCTTCTAATAATTATTGATTTTTATTTTTTTAGATGATAGCAGCCAAAGAGTTGTTCTCTCGTCAAAATAACACCAAATTTAAGTTGGACAGTGGTTGGAACATTTTAAAGACCAACAATAAATGGCATTTACATTGTCAAAACAAATTGATATCTAAATAATAATAATAATAATAAAACAACCGAAGAAGAGGAGTGGAATCCACATTGATGATAGTGAGCCTATTGGTCACTCAAACTTATCTACTCCATCAAGTAATGCAACAACGACACCAAGTTCGGTTGAAAGATCGGTGCACATAGTCGAAAATGATTCGACGTATGTTGAAGAATGTCAGCGACCACAAGGACAAAAAGTAGCGAAGCAAAGGCGAAATAAGGATAAAAGACAATCTGAAAGTCAGAATGATTTCATTAGCAAATTTGATCATGGAACAGCCTTTATCAAAGACAATCTAAAACTCTTGAAGCCGCTCAAATAGCACGAGAGGCACGTAAAGCAGATAAAGAAAAGACTAGACAACTCGAGCTTCAAAGCAAACTAAGAAAGATTGAAAATAAGCAAAGAGCTGAAGAGATGTTAATCATGCAAAAAGATCCAGAATCGATGCCAACATAAGCCGGGAAAACATGGCTAATTGAACGCTAAAATGAAATATTAGCATCTATATGTGCATGCGGTTACTCAAGCTTTCCATAAGATTATTTCAAGCATTCCATATGATTGTTCTATTTTTTGTAGTTGTTATGTTTTTAATTCATGTCGTATTGTATTGTTTTTTATTTTTATTGAATTGTTTAAATTTATGTCGTATCGTATTATTTTTAATAATAAATATTGTATTGTTCAAATTTTTTGTATGATATAGCTGTTTTAAAAATATAGCCATTAGGAAAAAGAAAAAAAAATAAAATTTATTAAAAATTAAAAAAATATTAAAATATTAATATTTTTGCAGAGCGAAAATGCACCATTGGAGTACATCCAATAGCTAAAATTTGGAGACTCTAAAATGCTAACGTGGCTATGGGAAATGCTGATGTGGCTATTGAAAAATGTTGATGTGGCAAATTCGGAGAGCCCATTGGAGATATTTCCAATGATATGCTTCTCTTTTATCCGACCATAGCGTCATTCATCAACTTAGTTGTGTTGCCACTCTACAATAAAATGGTGTGGTAGGGCGCAAGCATCGTCACCTTCTTGAGGTTGCTTATGCTCTCCGTTTGTAAGCACACTTACCTAATTTTGGGGTGAGTGCGTTCTCACATCAACCTATCTTATTATGTATAAATCGGTTTTCTTTTTGCCCATTTCTCCATTTCATTTATTTATTTATTTTTAACACTGCTTCCCCCTTAATTGAAGTACTAGCTCTGCCTTGCCTGTATTGTATTATATTTGTCTATAAATACAATGATAATAGATTCTCTCCTTAAATGAGGAAGATATCACCAAAACATATATGTGATATTTACAATGAGGAATTGCAGATTGGAATGCTAAAACTGAAAATGTATGACTTAGAAGAAATCACATTCAGGCAAATCTGTGAGCCCGTCGAGGTTTAAACCTTGTCCGTTTTGGTAAATTCTCACCCTAGATGGCACAGGGAGATTTTCCGGTAGGGGAGAAAGCCCTGAACAAAATGTTCAAAAGATGGATAATGAGCGGGAAAAAATAATGGCCTGTGTAAATTAAAAATTAATTATAGGCCATGTCGGAATGATCAGGAGGAACCACTAAATAATGGACACTTGGATTCTTATGGTGTTTGAAAAAAATGGGCCTATAATAATGGATGGAGAAAAAAATTAGATAATTTTATTCTTGAAAATATAATTTTTTTTTAAGAAAATAATAAATATGAAAACTTAATATTGGTTAGCAAATATTTACAACTATAGTGTATTTAAGTAATACAATTTTACAAAATAAACAAAGCAAATTCAATTGTGTGTTTCTTTAACTGTATTTCCCATTTCCTCTTACGGTGTTGTACTATTAACAATTAGTTTTGATAACTAATTATGAATGAATAACAATTATAACTAATTCTAAATGAACTAAGCACTTATTTAATTAAATGTGTTTGATAATGTAATTTAAATATCGCCGAAAAAGTGTAAGCGCCACTTAAAATGAGATAAAAATTTAAGTGATAAGGATATCATTTATCGTTGAATGCTGAACGTTGAAAATTCAATATAAAAAAATATTTATTTTATATTTATCACTTTAAAGAATTAGCACTTAAAATTCAGTTGTTAAAAATTTTAGTATAATTTTTAATTTTATTAAACAGCACATAAGA